TGAGCGGTACGATGTATGTATTGGTTTTACTATGATGTGTGCTTTTTATCATTTTATTGTTTGTGTGTTTGTGTGTGTGTGTGTGTGAGCAAATTGTCTGCCCCAATCAAAATAATTACAAACACCTTTTTTTTTTCTATTTTTTTTTTTTGTTGCATTTGTTATCTGGTTGGAAGTCATTTTTTAATTTCCCACGGGGATTTCATAACAATAACACGCGGACTAATTTTATTTTATTATTTTTTACATTATTTACTGTATTCATATTAGAACAATATTAGGTACCTATACCGGTATATACGTATGAATATTATATTATACCTTTTAGTTTTGTACTGCTTGCCTATCCGTGTACCACTATAAACGCTCTGTTCTGGTTTTGGAATCTTTCAAATTTATCGTTCTCAACTGTAAAAAAAAAAACCCCGATCCGATGACAATATAGAACGCTTTGTTTTTGTCGTTCTCGGTCTGCAATAACAGAAACTGCTATGCATACAAAATGTACAATTATGGAAAAGCCTATACGCGATTTCGGATAATTTCCGTGCCGTTTAATTACGAAAAATCGTTAAAATATTATAACCGTGTAAAACGTACATTTCAACGTACATTCATACAGTCGGAAATTATGAAAGCGCAACAATAATTTTCAATGTTACGCTCGCACACAATAATGCGGTTGCGATATTATTGGTCCGCGCTAAATTATTATAATAATTACACAAGTATATAGTGTACATGAAAACGAGCGAATAAAGTATTTTCAGTTTTTTTTTTTTTTTTTTTTTATCGGCGGTTATAAAATTAATTACAACAGATATTTATTGGACCGCCGCTGCAGTTTATCATCACGATATTACGAATTCAATTCAACTCGATTTTCCCGCACGGTCCACCTGTAGGACGTACACGAGTTTTTCGCGTTATGTAGGCGCCGCCGGAGCTGACGTCAATAGTTATTAATCTCTCGTAAATCAAATTCGACATCAATGAATATCGCAGGGATCATAAGGATCGCGTAATATCATTTTGATAAAACGATTGTTTGTGATTTTTTTTTTTTTTTTCAAACACTTTTTAAACCGCATCGTTATTATAGGTTTATTCCTATCTGTAAATCACTTTTTTTACCAGAAATCTTGCTCCAATCGAAAAATGCCGAGACACATTTCGTGTTGAGGTTTGAATCATGTCATTTTTTTTTTTGATTTTCCAAGCAGTGTTCGGAATAATTGGATAAAGCCGTAAAAAACTGATAAATTTACAACGTCAACGATTTTCTTATTATAATTTTTTTTCGATTTGGCATTTACACCAGAACCCTCTCATCGGGATTCGAGTTAGGCATCTTTTCTAAAAGTAAACTTACAACATTTATTAGAAACTATTAGAAAGTATTTTTATTAATTTTTTGATATTCCAGGTATTTTTTCATAATTGGACAAAACTCGGAAATTGTTCGACGAAAAATAACGGTTCCATTCATTTTAATTTTATGTTGTGATTCGGTTAAAAATAATCATGAATAAATGAAATGATCACAGAATACTTGTATTAGCCTTTTCTAGACGAAATATATTCTGGTGATTTTCAAGCTATTCGTAAGCAATTGAAATTTTCAAAACTTTGTTTAATTTTAATATGGTAGGTATTTTACGGGTAATATTGTTTTGACTGATTTTAGTGGTGGTAAAAATAAAATGAAAAGTTGACCATTATCTTGTAGTATTTTTTTTATGAGCGTATAAATATAACATGTTCGTAAAATTCACGGCATTTAAAATTGCTCTTTGTTCAAAATCGTATTTTATGATTCGTTAGCAATCGTTATCACTATCGTTGATTGTACAGATATAAATTAAACAATTGTATGTATCTTATAACTTCCCAACTTTTTTTTAGTACATTAAATAAATTACACGCAATAGCCTTAATATCCAACGGAATAGATGTACGTGATAATATATGGGTTTTTTGTAGATTCTGCCTGCAGCTAAGAATGTATTGGTTTTACTAAGATGTTTTAAGATGTTACTAAGATTTTTTTTCTTTATCTTTTTATTTTTTTTATACTGTGTACAAATATTTTACAAGAAAACTTGCTCAGATATATACGCCTGGAATCATTTCTGAAAGGGAATATTGTCCAGATGGTACTTTTAGAAGATCATTTTTTGATTTTTCTAAGTGGTGGTTATAATATCTAGAAAAAACCAGGATAAAATATAGGAAAAATGGGAACTTTATGAAAATAATGCTTTTATAGCTTCTCTATAAATTTTCAAAAAATCTGAGGTATTTATAGACATTTTAATGTTGAGAGTTTTGTACGTAATATTTATTCGGTAGGTATTCTGTTGTAAAATTGTAAGACTTGAACAGAAATGCTTGAACATTTAACGGGATGTTCATGAAAGTCTTATATTGTAGTAAAAATGTTAAGTTAAATAATTTTATATTGTGTACTCTTTAATAATTGTCTTAGCCGAATGATTATACTTACCTATTATCTTTCTAAGAGGAGTTCAAGCCTGTGTTTTGAAAAAAAAATGTTTGCACTTATTTTTTCCCTATTATCTAAACAGGGAAAAAACAAATGCATTTTCGGAATACCTAGAGTTTAGCTATCGCTCCCTCGAATTGTTTTAATCGAAAAATACTCCTGAACTTGTACAAACTTTTCTACCAGTAATTCTGCTCCGATTTTAAACGATAGCAGTTTTTCAAAAAGGGAATCTGATCAGGAAGGTACTTTAAGGTGTTAAATTTTCGATTTTCCCAGGAGTTTTCGCTGCAAATGTGAGAAACCAAGAAAAAAACACGAAAAAACTGGGAAATACGCAGGAAAAACGGAAAAACCGGTTCATTATTAAAGAAATATTATTCAAGAAAATATATAATGCCTATTTAATTGTTTTACCAAGATATGATACAGCATCTTTATCAACTGAACTGCGCTCATAATCGTGTTTTCGTTAGCAATGATAAATCATTGCTCACAGATATACATTAAATTACCTATAACAGTGGCTGTACACTTTTCTATTATCCTAGGACATCTTTTTTCTAAATTAATTGTCCTCGTTGATTTTTCTAATTTAATTCTGTTATAGATTCTAACAGATTTTTTTATTTTTTTTTTTATATTCATTTACCCAAGTATATAGAAAATTGCATCAAAGGCATTGTCTGTCTATATATACGCATCGGCTAGATGGGCACAGCGAAGGCTGTTCGCGTACAACGAATCCCATTATAGAATTTAAATGAACGTAAAAAACGAATTAAAACCCTACGGCAGAGAAAAAAAAAAGTCGTACCGGCACTAGATTGCATACGATGCGCTCGCTAATGCACGTATCAAAATTTCTATTTTGTATATCATTATAATTAAGTCAGAAACCACTTAGACGGAAATTTACAGGAAAAAAGTATATTGTATATATTGTATAAGTATTATACATGCTGAGAGCCACGTGTCGCGATCATATTATATAATATATGAAAACCGTGTACACGTATACACGCGTGTGCGCAGAAAATCTAACGAGATTACCGCGGGATAAAAGGTTCAAAACTGTACATCACACTTCACTTAGCTACAGCCGCAGTCACTGGTTTTAGCGCGCACAAACGATATCTATCGTTCGCTCAAAATCATTAATGTAATTTTATACAATATAATTATATACATATATATATATATATATGATACTTTCTGCTTCCGACGATCATTCGGATAACGGACTCGGCCACGGGTCTCCGGGGTGACGGGGAACGGAATAAAGTATCCTGCAATGATTACAGTATTTACACATTTACACGATACGGTTGCCACTAGGAGGAGGTTATCTCGCAAAACGTCTAAAAGTTTGTTTTTACGCGCGTAAAACACTGTCCGATTTGCGAGTTGTGATTAGCCACTTCAATAGTACCCGATCTCGTTTGATAAATGTTCGTTTTTTCGCTTTGGTCTTCGGCTAAGATACTGATAAGTACTAAGAAAATAGTATAGAGTATTGTATACGTGATATTTTGAAGTCGTCCAAAATTATTGGACAGTTATTTGTACAGGTAAACGTATAATTTTGTCGAATCTTACACGCGGGAATATTGCACTATAATTATTGTTTTAGTCACAGTTATTTGAATTTAATGCTGTTGCGGGTGGAAGGTGATTTTTACTTTTTTAGCTTTCGACACCCCCTACAGACTCTCCAAATTAAGCCGGGGGACATAAAATTAAGAATACTCACGGCTATAGTGCATCAAGGATGTGCATTTGGGCAGTTTCATATCAACCTCCTCCTCATCCCCACCTCTCTTACAAATAATGCATAATTTGTCTATGACATAGATCATAATAGATTTTTTTAAATTGCGGGGGCCCCCCAAGAGGTTGTTAAAAAAATGTTTACACATTGAATTATGTGAATGCTTTGATTCGAAATTTGTTAAATTGAAAAAAAAATTCTAAGGTCCCATGATGTACGATATCATAGTATATTTTAAACACTTCGGCGCCATTGCTCCTTGCCTACACTTACCTACATATTCGATAAAATTTCAACTTTTTTTTTTTTTATTTCGAGAATAAGTATAATAAAATATATTGTAGTATATGACGCAGTATTGTACATTATTATCATAGAATTTAATGTTGGGACTTGTAGTATTTGTAGTGTTCGGTTATTTATTATTTCGCAAAGAATTTTTTGGAAATTTTATCCTAGTCTCTGTTTCTGGCTGATTTTTTATTGTTCGAGATATAATAGCAAATTTTATTTTGTATATTTCGGGATTTTTGAACTTATTTCTAAGCATATTTTAGTATTTCCATAATTTACGAGGCAGATATACCTCGGCTGAAATTCAGAAAATAAATAGCAGTAATCCATTTCACTGAAATTGGTGAATACAATCAAAGATTGCCGGTTTCGTACAGTAACGTCCAGCAATAGCGTAAAATATTTTGTAATTGCCATTTTTTAATTTTCGATACAACACAACTATATAGATTTTGAATGCATGTAGGGTACGCATTAATACTCGACGATTTTCGTCATAAATCTAAAAAGTACAGAGGGAATACCCAACAGAGTTTAATTCGTTATTTTATTTTTTCAACCGAGACCCGAAACACGACACTCGGACTCCTCGCATGGCTTACTTTTTAACTTTAAATAAAGACTATCGAGAAGGAAAAGATAACGTGCCATTCGAGACCGGCCCGCATATTTATTTTCTTTATATGCACGCGTATTATTTTAGTTTCTGAGTGGAACGAAGAATGTAATGGTTTTACTAAGAAGTTTATTTTTTTTGTTTTATTTTATGCTATCTACAGAAATATTGTCTATTTGGTACTTTTAGGTGGTCATTTTTTGATTTTTCCCAGCGGTTTTCATGATATCTGGGTAAAACCAGAATAAACCGTAAGAAAAATGGGAAATGTACGAAATTAATGGTTTTATTATTTTATTAGTTTTGTTATTTGTTTTAAGTCAGTTAAAAATATTCGTAGAAATTTGGAATTTGGACAGAAAACTTTTATCTGCCTTTTCTAGGCGAAGCAAAATTGTCAACAAATTTTTGAGCTATTTATAGAAATTTAAATTTTGTGAGTTTTGTGCGTAATTTTTATTTGATAGGTACTCTGTGGTAAAATTGTTAGACTTAACAGAAATGCTTGAAAAATTAACAGGAGATTTATTAAGTCTTACTTTGTGATAAAAAAAAAAAATGAGTTTAATGTAGTGTTTATTTTTATAAAGGAATTTTGACGAAAATTGTTTGAGTAAAAAATTATGTGGAACAAATCTAATTTTTAATTTTTTTTTCGATCATATATTTATTGTTGATTTAAGAGGGATGGTTGGAATCGAGCGGACTGAATAAGTTTCAAAATTATAGCTTTTTTAAATTCATATAATATGCAGATATTGCATGTTTATGTTAAATTACTCTATATTGTCTGACTTATTATACATATTATATTTTAGTCGAATGGTCATGAGTACTGGGGGTCACGGGTTCTTCAAACCCGGGTTTTGAAGTTTATTGCACTTTTTTCCCCCTTTTTACCTAAGTAGGGGAAAAAATGAATTTTAAGTGTACCTAGAGACCTAGCTATCATTCGTTCCGACTATTTTAATCGAAAAATACATCTTGATTTGTCGTGTAAACTTTTCTACCAGAAATCTTGCTCCCATGTATCAAGTATAGCTTATTTTCTGAATAGAAATTTGACTTGTGTAGCAAACGTTTTTTAATTTACCAAAGAATCTTTCATAATAAATTGGAAAAACCTGGTTAAAACATCGGAAAAACGAAAAATGTACAAAATGTAGGTATAATTAAAAAAATATAATGGTCTATTTTTTTTCTATATACAACTTTTGTACAACCAATTTTGCCCCATTAACAATGAAAGCACTATTTTCGAAAGTAAATCTGACTGGGAAGGTGTCTTGGGGAGTTGTCTTGGCAAACGTGATAATCCGAGAAAAACATGGGAAAACCCAGGGAAAATCGATACAACATTAAACAAATAGTATCAAAGAAAATATATAGTTCCTATTTAATTATTTTACTATAATATGACGTATATATTATTGTAGCGTTGTCAAAGCATCACTATCAACTGAAATGCGTTCAGAATCGTTTTTTCATTAGCAATGGTTTATCGTTGCTTATAGACGTACATTAAATTACCGTGGCTGTACCCGTCTCCATTATCTTATGACGTCTTTTTATATAGGCTTGTGTTATCCAATTTTAAGTCCCTCGACACATAATATGCAGATTTGTGCGTTCGTAATGTATGCGCATATTATGTATGAGTATACGATTTATATTATATTATATATTATATGATATGTAAAAGAACAATAATAATAATAAAATCATAAAACCAAAATCGTGGGTCGCGTTTCTGTATCAAAACTGACGACCGGATTTTTAATTGCGGAGAAAAAATTAATCCACCCATCCCCCCGCCACTCCCGAATGAATTATTCGTCTTATATATGGCTGCTACCCGTGTGCAAGTCGTAATGTAATAAAATTCACCCCATTTTGAGTGAAAAGGTCCCGTTTTTTTTTTTTTTTTCGTATATTTTTATTATTATTAACTTTTCGGCGTGCGGCTTTGACGGCGTGTCGAGTTTCCCACAAACGCGTATACCACCTATACTTAAAATTTTAGAATAATATTACGATCCGTTAAACGGTTTTACCGCGACAATAAAAACAGTGTGTGGCGCATAGAGTCTGGAGCAGTTTTACGTTGCGGTTTTGCCAACTTCGCATGCACACTCGCCGTACACCGCGTATCAGGTACACGGGCGTTATATTATATTAAAAAACCGTGAGTCAAATTCCGAATTACGTATTACCTACGAATTGGTAATTTAGTTTGCATTTCGAAATGTCAAAACCGCTACAGGGATGACGGCAGCTCGCCAAGGGACGACTGAGGCCACGAGGCCTCGGTTTAGACGAAAACCGTGGCCTCAAAACGTCTCAATATAATTACAAGTTTAGTGTGGTATAATATTATTGCTTAGACCACTTACAATAAAATCTATACGGCCAGCGCTAGTTTTTTTTTTCCCTGTCGTCAGACGCGTCGTTTACGAGTCTCGAATAAATGTGCGGTGTAACTGTTCGGTCTCTTGAGCCTATAAAGGCCACGATGCGTCGCAACATATATCTTTCAACCATCGTCAAAATCTTCCGGTTCGACCCAACTCTTAAAGCTCTGGCATTTTTGTTTACCACGTCTTAGTCACCTTCTTTCTCGGCCGACCCAAAAGTATTTTCTCTATTGAATTCTAGCGCGGCCCGTGAAACTGAGTTTTCGCTACATACCGTATAGTGTTCGATTTTTCGACGATCCCTAAAATATTGTTATTTTTAGAACGTTATTTTGGTAATTCCTTCGCCGGAGAATCTCCGACCGTGGGCGTTCGATGGTCCTCCGCGATGTCTTTCGTTCCAGGTATACGGAATTGTTAGTGGATAATCCTTATTGATAATTCTCCGAGGAGGCGGCCAAGAACCGACGGCGGGTATATGCGCCGGGCGTGCGGGGTAGACGAGGGAAACGCGAGCCGTGGCGTGCCGGCGATATTATTAGAGAGACGCGACGGAGGAGGAGGAGGATAAGAGCGGTTAGAGTAGTCTTGCGGGACGACAGTGGACGGAGCGTGCGATGAAAATACGCGGATCCGGGCGGTGGTATTTACGGGGATTTCGGGGACTTGGTTCGGGGCGCTACGGGACAATATCGGCCGGATCGAAAACGTATTGACGTCATCGCCCGCCTCGTTATGATATTACGCGTGTGACGTAAAGCATGGCGCGGATACGGCGCGTGTGTCTCGGGTGTGCGACCCGCCGCGGCGGTTTTGAATAGTATTTATTACGTTGTCGCGGGGCGCTTAGTAATGCGATTCACGTCGTCGTCTAACCGTTTCAAACGTCACGTTAAATTATTGAATAGCGCAAACGTACATGCGTATATTTCGCATAAAGTCATTAATCCGAGTTATACACAATACACACGGTAAACAGGTAGCCCCGGGTGGTGCACGCGTGTTATGTGTATAATATGGAGGGCGATCAATCGTCGGCGAGACGCGCATCGTCTCCGGAGGAATTCGCTTTTTTATTATTATTTTTTTTTTTTTAAACTCGCGAAAAAAAGCGGCTCTAATATGTTACGTTACCGTTATTTCTCTGCGCTCTAATTTTTCTAGGCGTAAAACCGCGCTACCCTCGACTTTCGGTATTCAAACGGCTTTCTGCTGCGGGTACCGATTGAAAATAATTTCCCGAATTGCCGATGATGTTTTTGTCCGCCGTGATACACCCGTTGACACCCGTTGACGGGATATTCCGCTTTTGATTATGACGGGTATAGAGGGAACAGTAGTGGAGCGCCATTTGCGTGTCGTTTGAGTAGCGCTCCACTACAATTATTCTCCCCCACCCGTAATTAAAAGTGGATTATCTCGTCGACGGGTCGACGGAAGTAAAAACTATAGACTAAATAACTCTACTGTCCGTGTATGGATTTGCGAATACAAAATGCGAAAATCAAAAGCGGGTAGCGATTCCATTACCAAAAATAAGGGTGGCTGGCAAAAACGAAAAAAAAAAAACAACGATAATGTAACGTTTTAGAGCTGCTTGTTTCTTAGATTGTCCGAAGAAAATTAATTTGTAATTCTGAAAAAAGTCGCAAAACATTAGATAATAACGAGCGTCTTATTGCGGATTGATCATCCCGTGCGCGCAGCCGAAGGGCCTCGTGTTTCACCACCCTCCGGGGCGGAATATAACGGATTATCGTTATTATTATATTGTCGTCGTCGTTGTTATTATTACAGGATAACGTGGCCGAAATTCTCGACAAGACCGATCGCACGATAATTAATTTTGTTCAATACATCATAATTTATACTCGAGGCGACAAAGCCGTCGACGATCGTATTCTGTCAGCCGAAATTTGCTGTAGTGTCATCACGGCGGACACCCGAATCCGCGTGACAATGTTAAGCCGCCGTAAGCCGAACACAAGTCGATTTCAGGGCCCGAGGATAGAGTCGTTTGTTTTTGGGCACTTCGGTGCCGTACGTCGTCGCATAGTCCGGATTTCGATGCGGAGTGCGTCTCCGGAGTGAGTCTACTGTAGGACGAGGAAAATCAGTAAATTATTACGGATTACGTTTTGACTCGTGTGTGACTGCAATCGTACGCTTGCGTTGTACAACGCTGAAAGTTTCATAACATGACTGTCCGTGGTCTGTGCGCCGAATTTCGGTTAAGGCTCTGTACTATTAGTCGGTTTGACCTATCTTAGAATACAGATCTGTTATCTGGAACTTATGCTTCAGATTGGAATTGGTCAAGAGGAAATTTCAAAAATTTGTCGGATCGATTTTGAAAACACCTTATTCTGAATACGATTACATTGATTGTATTTCTATTCGGCTGAATATTTCTTCGCTATCTGACCGTAGGCGTGAAACCGGTTTAAAATTTCTTAACTGTGTACCGTCCGGTACGATTGATTCTGCGTCCATCTTATCTTTGATTAATTGACGAGTTTCTGCTCTGCGTATCAGCTCATCCTTTCCTCTGTCAAATAGATTTCGAAAGAGTTAGTTCGTAGGTTAATGCAACCAGGATACATAATTTTTTGGCA